TTAAACAATGGAAGCAGTCAAATTGAACCCAAATACAATAAAACAAACACAGAATTCTCACATTCTACACTAGCTTGACATTTTCTTCTCTTTAATCAGGTACTGTTTTTGCCTGATTTACCTGATACCTACTGTAATGCAGTTCCATGAAGGGTAATATTAATGCTACAGCATACAAAAACATGTTAGACAGTTAATGCTTACAAATTTGTAGTAACAGTTTGGAGAAGTTTCTTTCTTCTTCCAGGAACTGTTTTTTGTGCCTCTGTCCACAAAACAGGATCCATAAGCATGAGTTGGTGTAGAGGAACTCCAGTGGCCTGCTCAGAACCATGACCTCATCCCCACTGAACATTTTTGGGATGAACTAGATAGTCGACTGTGATCCAAGCCTTCTCGTCCAAAATCAGTGTCTGACCTCACATATGCTCTTTTTTTTCCCAAATAGGCACAAATTCACACAAACATACCCAAAAATCTTGTGGAAAGCCTTACTGGAAAAAGAATGGAGGCTGTTAGACCTGTAAATGGAGTGTGTGTATGTGTGGGGGGGTGGTCTCCATTTTAATGCACATGGTTTTGGAATGGGATGCTCAACTAAATCATGAAGGTTTGATAATAAATTGTCCACATGCTTTTGGCGCAATATAGTGTATGTAAATAAGCCATAAGAGGTGCTAGTCGAGACCGGCTTTAATTCTGCATTTTTATATTTCTCAATTTTTATATAAAATGTATTTATACAAATACAACATGAAATCTGTTTATATGTACTCAGTGTTTTACTTTTTCAACAAAATCCCCCCTTTTTAGTACAAGAGACTATTCAAACAATTTAAAATGATTGAAAAAAAATGTGTTCAGTTAAGGACAACACATTTTGTGTTACTTTTAACACAAAATGTGTTAAATGTGTTAAAACAGGTAATAAAAGTAGCTTGATGTAATTTAACACGTCTCCTTTTAGACTGTACACATAGTACAAGGCACACAACACATCATATACCAGTGCGATGAAGCCTCCATCCAGCTATCAATGTTGCCTAAAACCAATAAAACTTCATTATTTTATCTCACTGGAAAAACTTACTATCTGACTGCACTGTAAAAGGTACTTGTGTTACCTGCATTAACACATCTGTTTTGCTTTAATACAAAAGTCACAAAAAATATGATATCAGTTTCTAATATGATTTCACATTTCTTTTAGTAGTGATACATAAGTGGAAAAGCTATTTACCAACATCATAAACAACCAAAGATGAAACCTTTTTCTAGTGACATTTTAATTTCAATTATATATTTATGCTATGCAACAATTTAAATAAGACCAGGTGCTGCCAGCACTCCATTTAAACAGGTTTCGCCACCCTGACAAGCATAGTAGTTAATGGTTAACAGGCTAAAGAGATGGTTAATGGTTAACAGGCTAAAGAGAAGAGTGCCATGTTCCGTTCACCTCACAGTGAGCTGCTTTTTCCAGTGAGACAGAGAGCAGCTAGATTGTTTCTACCTGTCATGTGCAGATCACTGTCCACTGGTGCTGAGGCTGAGCTGCATGATGCAGTTTCAGCACCATGGACAGTGGTTGACTAGATAAGAGGGAAAAGAAAAAAAGATACAATGCTTTGCAAAATGTAGGAGCATCATACAAAAGTGGGTAGCGATTTCTATAATAAACCAGATTTGATATTCTGCTCAATTTATTAAGTTTGAACAACTCATGGAGGCTGGTTCCACTGTTCCACAGCCCAAAGCTGGTGGGCTTTATACTTGGCATTGGGGGCGGTCAGAAGTGAATTCTGAGAGAGGACTCAGATTAAACAAAAACACTTTTCTTAATTATTTTTCGTCATCATTTGAGTGTATTGGTCCCATGACATTAGAAAGGAAAAAAAAAAAGTACTCAACTTTAGTGACATAACAGTGAAAACAACGTGGTCACTCATCAAAAATGCCTTATTGTTGCCATATTGTGTCCCTGGGACAATAACTTTTGTCTTGGTGCTTAAGTGGGGAGCTTTTCCCCTAAGATGGAGTTCATTAGAGTTAAATGAGTGACAGGCACTCGTGGCCTCTTGCTGGTTTGTGCCTTTGATCTGCTGCCTCTGTTCGGCCCTCTCCTGCAGGACTGATTGATTGAAGGGCTTCCACAGAGAGAGGCTCCTATGGCTTACATACCCTTGTGCTTAATCACTGAGTTACTCACTGCTCAAACTGTGTTATGTATTTAGGTATAGATGAGATTAAGGTGGGGCAGATGTTTATAGCATGTTTTCACTGGGCTGACAGTGAAAATAACAGAGATTTCTATCCCTACCTACATGACTGACATGATGGTGTGAAGATGTGATGAGAACATTTCCTATTTGAAGTCATGAGAACATTTGTTGCTTCCTCTTTAGTGATGCATAATTTATCAATGCCTTAAAGACACTTTAATCCAGCTACTCTACATGTTAAACATCAATATGTTTTTCTTCTCATGATTTTCTTTTTTAATTTCGAGGTGATGATTACAGAACAGAAATAATCACAGTTTAAATAGGAACTGAAAACAGTGCTATTTCTAAGTGGACTGCACAATCAAACTAATCATCCAATTAATATGCTTCAAATCTGACTATTAGATGCTTCATGCTAATCTGTTCTGACACATCAAGGCTGAACCAGAATTGATATATCAATCAAATTATTCACAGATGAGCATATTTTGCTTAACCCTTACATACTGTTTATTGTTTAACCCTTTACAGTATGGACCACCTACTAGTTTAGGTGAGTGGTTCTTTTCCATTGACAAGGTAGAGGGGGGTTTATACATTGTGCATCATCAGATGGGCTACAGACTGAAACTGTGAACCTGCAAAGTGCACCTGCATGGAAGGTGTTTATAAAATGGCCAATGACTGAATATTTTATGTGATTTTTCTGTTTTTATTTCCTTGTTTTTCAAATTCCAGTTCAAAAATTTTCATATAAAGTGTAAATTTAAATTGTTGCGCTAGTTAATCTCTGTTTTAGGTTCACATTGGCCTTAGAGTATATTGAGATAGTAGGTAAATTATTTTCACAAGAAGAAAAATAAAAAGTAAACAAGTGATGTAAAAATAATCACCCCTTGCTAATGCTAATGCTAAGTGGGTGAAAAATGCACTTTGACCACAATCTATGTACTAAAATATGTAGCACTTTTTGGGGTCACTTTTGGAAAAGTCATAAAATTTCAGGTTTAAAGATTCAAATTTAGGGTCTTTTCACTGTCTATAAATGTCAAAATGGGTAAAAGTATGACCTGAACAGTGTGTATGGGTTAAGAATATAATGCTGGAGAAACATTATGCTTTTTTCATGCACAGAAAACATGAAACTTTTGAAGAAACAATATATGTAAAGGTTTAGTGTTTTTACCATTGATCTTGGAGCACCACTGTCCTGCACACTTTAATGAATGGTAAGTTGTCTTTGATCCGATATGGAATTATGGTCAAAGGCATTGATTTCTAGTCAGTGTCGAAGTTATTGTCATCACAAGTTTGTACAATTTATGCTGGACATCACAAGGTCTTTTAGCCATGCAGAAGAGGTGAAAAGGCTGTAAAGAACAGCACAGTGGGAAACACAATCACCCTGAATATAAAAGCTTAGACAGTTTTGATTCCCATTATTGCAACACTGACATGCAGTAATAAAAGCCCTTGAGTCTCTAAGTGCTGCATTAGCAAATAACTGAAAGTTAACCACTGGTTAGGAACAACTGCCTTAAATCACATACAGGTTTTATTCTAGTTTTAGTAAACTAGGCCATACAAATTATTAAGTCTACATTTTTTACTTTTTACATCACCAGTTTTAACTGAACGTTGGGGTGAAACATCTATACAGTAAGTGGGGCTACTGGTGAAGGCTAAAAGCTGGGCTCATAATTCCTTGAGACACAGAGACCAATCAGAACAGAGGATTTTGTTTACAGCTGTCTGACCAACTTGGGTGAAAAGAAGATATTCAGGTGTGAGATAAAATACATTTGTTTAATAATTTCTCTTTATTGAGCTGCATTATGCTTGTAATCTAATTGTGCCACAGTAGATAAGCAAATTAGATCAATAAAACAAAAAGTTGATTAAAAGCTTTATTTGAAAAGATCATTTGCAAAAAAACAAAAAATGGCATCCATCAAAAAATAAAAAAAATAAAAAAATGACAGTTGTGAGTTAATCTTTACACACAGCACACTCTGAACCCTCATATGTTTTGTCAAAAAAGCCATTACTCTCCACTGTCAAGGCACTGCAAGTTCACATTTTACAGCAGAAACAGTCAAATGCCAGTGCTGTTCTCGAGTAGAGCCTGATAAAACCATTCAGCGAATCACCGCAGAGTATTCAGGTCAGGTGATCCAACACTGCTGCAAACTGTTTTAGGCAGAATCTCAAGCGGCTTCTTTGTCTCTACAAGTTTAGTATGTAGGTCTTAAAATAACGGCTACTGTATCTAAACAGAGCTCAGAGTGTCTAACAGAGAACCACTTTGGATTCAGCCATGTGTGCACAATTCATAATGGACATAAAGCACAATATTTGAGTGTAAAAGCCATAGTGCACTTTATAGGAGGCAGTGAGTCATTTGAGATTCAGCCTTAGGATTTTCAGAGGTCTGGTTTTATAGATGTCTAATATTAACCATTAATGGGCTGTTTTTCCTTCAATTTTCAGCACTATACCAGCTTGATTTATGCTGAAAAAATGTTAAATATTGCACACTTGCATCACTTGTATCCATTACATGGCTTTGTTTACATCTGAAATATGAATTGACCACTGGAGTTATGTGCTTTTGCAAAAGAACAGAATGTTAAAAGCAGTTGTTAAATTTTGTAAATCTGTATTTTGTTAACGTATGTTTTATTATTCAAAACAACCCAACTGCAGTTTGATTTATAGCAATTTATATCAGAAAAGTACAATAAAGAATGCATGAAAATTTATTAAAATGTAGATATTTGTTTTTGCAAATAATCTTTGCAAATACGATGAGAAAAAAAGAAGAAAAAACAAGCATTAAAAAACACAAAACTTGTGTATGAGTGGTGTTATTTTACTCTGATGGTGGCGTATTCTGTCTTTTCTCCAATATCAGTAACTGTGGTTGTTCTGGTTGTTTTACTGTGGACTATAGTTGAGTACATCACTTCATCCTGTAGAGGATCACAAATGATAATTAACACACAACACTGACCCTTTAAAACCACTTCAGAGTTTGACTTAAACTACCAGGAGCAGCTTCTTCCTCAGTAGGAATAGGATATACAGATATGCACTGAGTGCCAGTTTATTAGGTATTTATCACTCACATTCACTCACACTGTACATTCCAACAACATGTGACTGTAGTGTGTAGAATAAATGAGGCAGACCAGCATTTCTCATATTAGTTAAGTGTTCATTTGAACACATTTTTTTCATTGAATGTTGATAATGTGGACAAAAACAGGTCAGATTTTGTCCCGAATGAGCCAGAACAACCAAAGACCATCATCAGTTACCTGCATCCACTTTAGTGTTCAGAAAACACTGAAGTGGATACAGGATCATCAAGATAGACCACTTAGGAATGGAATAAAGTTGTCTAATCAAACAAATCCAGTTTTTCTTTTTGTGCCATTCAGTATAATAATGCATCCTGTCTGAAGACATGTTTTGTCACAAAAGCATTTCAGGAACATGCAGCAGAGTTTTCCAACACCACATCCCTTTATTAGACCTGTGTGCTGAAAGGGATATGTACTCATGTGGTGTAAAAAAAATATATTGTAGATGTAGTATGAAGATGGAGTATGTAGTTATGATATGATCAGATATGGAGTGATATGATTGGGTCTGTAGACTGGATAACAAGGGCCATGTTGGGATGTTATAGGATGTGATAGGATGTGTTTATGGGATATGCTGGAGATAATGTGATATATAATTAATCAAAATACATAAAAATTTCCACATTCCAACATTGCACGTCATCCACATTCTATATATATATATATATATATATATATATATATATATATATATATAGAATGTGGATGACGTGCAATGTTGGAATGTCGACATTTTGATGAGTTATGATGGGACGTGATGGAATATGACGTTATGAAATGTGAAGGGATGTGATCGAATGTGATATGTTGTGATGTATGAACTCACCGGTGTTTTCTGTTCTCTCATCATCCTTTTTTCTCTACTTTCTGTCTGTCCTCGTCTCTGTCCTGTAGAATGAAACATTACAATGTGAGACACAGACACTGCACATACCTGTGTGTGTGTGTGTGTGTGTGTGTGTGTGTGTGTGTGTGCGTGTGTGCGTACCTCTGTATCTCCAGTAGATGACTACTCCGAGTCCCAGCAGGAGAAGAAGAACAGGAATCAAGATGAAGAAATAAATGGAATAATCTGTGTCAAGAAAGAAATTAGAAATATTGCATATTTATGCAATTTGGGTACAAAAAAAATATGAAACATGATTGTTTTGTAGAATGTTTAGAGAGCATAATAAAAAGTTCCCATAAAAATAAGGCTGTAAAATCTGAAGTTCAGCTGCAGTCAGTGTGCTGCTCTTACCATCAGGTGTTTTAGAGAAACTCGCAATCGAAGCGTGTACAATGGTTTGGATGTCAACAGCAGTAGATGTTGTAGTTTTAGGTGGTCCCTCTGTAGAGAGAGAAGAGTTTGACAGTCAGTGTAGGAACAGAACAGCAGTAAACAGCTCACTGTAGATACACAGTGACATTAACACCTTTTATTATACAAACCCAAATCCAAAACAGTTGGAATAGTTTGTGAAATGTTAATATAAACAGAACTCATAATTAGTATTACTAGTATTAGTATAAGTAGAGAAAGAGAAGAAAAGTAGAATATATGCTTGTATACAGCAATTTCACACAATGCATCACATTTTCTTTTTTTCATTTACAGTGTTTCTCCTGTTCCTCTGTGTAAACTGTGATTATGTTGAAGAATTTTCAGAGAACATAAACAAAGCTGTAACCGTTTATTTCAGCTGCAGTCAGTGTGCTGTACCTACTGTCAGCTCTTTTAGAGGACTGTGTGATTGAAGTGGTTGGACTGGTCTGTACACTGACCACTGCAGTAGATGTTGTAATTTTAGGTGGACCCTCTGTAGAGATAGAAGAGTTTGATAGTCAGTGCAGGAACAGAACATCAGTGGCAGCTCACTGTAGATACACAGTAACATGAACATAAACATTTTACTGTAAATGACCAGAACAGCATTCATTAAAATATACAAATGTTAATCTTTTGACATCAATTCAGTGTGACTATAGACAGAGAAAAAAGCTGAACACCAGATACAAGTGTAATAAATACACAACAGGTCCCTGTCCAGCTGGACCAGATTATATTTTAGTTTTGTGATGATAGTATGAATATTGAAGGAATGATAAGCTAATAAATTTTCATGTCTGGGAAATGTATTTAATTTCTAACATTTACAAACAACACATTGACAATACTCAAACTGAATCATCTACCATTTTAGTATAAAAACTCAAGAGTGAATAATTTTAATAAATAAATATTTCTGTATTTATTAATAATGTGATTGATAATGTTGATAATATTGACTATTTTGCTGATTTAACCACAAACCATGTGTGTACACATGAATTGGATCTTTGTGTGACACAGTTTTAGTGGTGTTAACTTTCTTCCCTAATATCATCAACACGCTCAGCTTGGACATTTACCAGAAAGCACAAGTGTGAACTTTAGTCAGGCTGATCATCACAACAGTTAAATAAATAAATAAATATATAAATGAATGAATGAATGAATGTTTAATAATAAATAAGTAAAAAAAGAATGTCAGGGCTAATTCACAGAAACAATGTCATAAAGACAACTAACAAAACGCCAGTGTGAGTGTGTGTCTTGTGTTTAGTGAGCAAGGAGGCTGGATATATGTGCAAGCAGACTAATAACCAAAACAAACTAGCAAAATACAAAATTCAAAGTACATAGTAACTGACTACAAGGCTTAAACAAAGAAACACAAGGAGCAAACAAAACACGAGATAGGGAAACAACCACTACAGCAGACAAAGTGACAAGTAGACCAGACCAACACTGACTGAAACAAACGGCTTGATAAAGTCTACAACAAATGGGGAACACCTGGGAGACAGAGGAGACAGAGACTACAGACAGGTGAGGATACTAATAGGGAAGGTGGGGAAAGGGTGGAGCACAAGAACCAAAACAAAAACACAAGCACATGGCTAAAGAGCACATGGCTACAACACAGGTCAAGAAAACAGATGAAGACAGGGACAGAGGAGACTGTGACAGTGAGCGAGAGAGAGAGAGAGAGAGAGAGAGAGAGAGAGAGAGAGAGAGAGAAAGTTGAATATATGCTTAAATACAGCAAAATCATACAGTAGATCATATTTCACCCTTTTCAGTGTTTCCTGAGAGCGTAAAAAATGCCTTAAAAATAAAATTTAGCTCTAAGATTGTAAGTTCAGCTGTCAGCTGCAGTCAGTGTGCTGTGCTTAACTTCAGGTTTTTGAGATGAATGTGTGGTTGAAGTGGTTGGACTGGTCTGTACATTGACCGCTGCAGTAGATGTTGTAGTTGTAGGTGGACCCTCTGTAGAGAGAGAAGAGTTTGATGCAGGAACAGAACATCAGTAAACAGCTGCAGATACACAGTAACATACATTGTACAAACATATATATATATATATATATATATATATATATATATATATATATATATATATATATATATATATATCCAAAAGTTGGGATGCTGTGCAGAATGTAAATAAAAATAGAATGCAATGATATGCAAATCATGGAAACCATATTTAAAACTTTTTAAAGGAAAATAGTACAAATGAATGTTGAAACTGAGAATTCTTTTTGTTTTTTGAAAAATATATGCCCATTTTGAATTTGATGCCAACAACACATTTCAAAAAAAGTTGGGAAGTATTTCATTTTAATTAAATATAGGGTTTAAATGAGTCAGGAAACACAGAAAGCAATAAACAGACAGAAACACTTAGTCTTAAATATATATGAACTCATCTGCATGTTAGGCACAAGTGAAAATATCACATTAAAAGACACCAGTGCACCACCACAGTGACTTTATGAATAGCTCTAATTTAAAAGTCTTTTATGAGTCTGGCTCATCATATATTTTTTTATTCAAAGACAAGTTGAAGTAGATGTATGAATCTCTGTTTTCTGTTTCTATGTGTATTTTCTCTACTGTCCCAACGTTTTTGAAATTGAGTTTGTACATTAACAGAAATACCATATAATTAAAATGTATGAACTTTACATCAATTCAATGTGACTATAGAACATAACTAAAGTTATATATCTGAGACTTGAGAAATGAACACGTGACAATATCATGTCCAGTTAGATCAGATTAAATTTTAGATTTAGTTCAGATTTTATGCCAACATTTGAATTCAGCAAATAAATGGTAATTATTTATTTTATTGTTTATTCTGCAGAAGTATGTTCTCTGGTGACATGTGAATACATTTTCACTTAGAAATCAATACATTGTCATTTGACCCAGGGTGCACAAACGTTTGCACACAACTGTAAGTGAACAGTGATGAGGGGGTGAAATGCATAAAAACATGGAGAGCTGGTTCTCTGTACTGTTAAATATATTAATATTATTTTAAATACATTAATAATATAAACTGAGACAGTGTTTTACCTTTTACTGTGAGTAAGATGGTTATATATGAATCTTTAACGCCACACCAGTAACCTCCTTCATCCTCTTCAGTCAGGTGTGATATGAGTAGAGAGAGATTTCCTGGAGAGTGACCATTAACCAGCTGAACTCTGTTTCTATACTGACCACTCTCACTGGATATCTCTTCCCAACTGTTTCTGATGTATTTCTGCCAGGTGAATTCCTCAGGTTTAGCGTGTAGGTCAGTGCAGTAGCAGGGCAGCAGTACTGACCCTCCTCTATATGCCGTGATATTCAGCTTTTTCTTCTTTTTTTCCAGAGTACAGGCTGCAGAAACACATCAGTAAGATCAGATTAATTGTATTCTCTTGTAGTGGCTCTAGCCTCCAGAGGTGATGGACATTCGTTTACTAAAAGGGTTTCCTCTTAAAGAACTAAGACACTAAACAACCTTCATAACAGACCTGCTTTCTCTGCTTATCTCCACCATCCAGAAGTCATAAAACCTCCACAAATATTCTTTTCACTGAGGCAGTTTTTCCGTGATCAGAATATCATGAATTTTATATTATATTTAGATCATATTAAAACTCAACCTGTTCATCAGAGAGATGATGTAAATGTGTGCTGCCTTGTTAGTTCGTTTTATATAATGTCCAAAGTTAGTCATGTGCAGCAAAAATTCCATACAGCCGTTGTTAAGGGATGTCTGCTGTCTTATTTCTGTTCTTAAATTGTGTATATATATATATATATATAATATATATATATATATATATATATATTCCATTACATGTGATGCTGGAACTGAGCCCCGTTTTCTGCAAGGGCACATCAAAGGGTACGGGGGTCTGCACCCGGAAATTGCAAACATTAAATGTTGCGATGGCTGTCCAGAGCCTACCTCATCGCTCTGACGCAGGGCCATCCCAGCCTGTTTGAAGCTCCACATACTGAGGAGCTCATTGCATGTAGTTTTGAATAATCAGGGCCTCTTTCAAGTGACTCTCCCTGTATTATTCACATGGAGCCTTTTGCACATGATTGTTTGAGAACAGTGAAAGGGGGTGGAATGCTTAAAAATGTGAAGAGTTGGTTCTCTTTACTGTTAATTTATTTATAAGTTACACTAGAAAAAAAATGAGACAGTGTTTTACCTTTGAAAGAGAGTCTGAAGATTATATGTGAATCTTTAACAGAACACCTGTAATCTCCTCCATCCTCCTCAGTCAGGTGTGATATGAGTAGAGAGAGATTTCCTGGAGAGTGACCATTAAGCAGCTGAACTCTGTTTCTGTACTGACCACTCTCACTGTATATCACTTCCCATGCTTTTCTGTTTGTATTGTCTTTCTTCCAGCTGAATTCCTCAGGTGTGGTGTGTAGGTCATTGCAGTAGCAGGGCAGCAGTACTGACCCTCCTTTGTATGCTGTAATACTCAGTATTTGTTCATTGTTCACCAGAGTGCAGCCTGCAGAAACGCATATCAAATAACATAACTACAGGGACTTCAAACTAAATTGGTTGAGCTATTCTGTTGTGTAAGAATCTCTGGGCCCACTGGTGGACCCTGGCTTGTTAAGGTGTTATTTATGTAATATCAAGCCACAACATTCAGTGATTAATTTAAAGTTTTAATGGAAGAAATAAATCATATGATGCCTAGTGTTTTTGTCATGTATCTCCATTTATTCATTTTTTGTTTTTTCTGCATCATTTAAACACAGCAGCTCTCCTATAAATCATGTCAAAATTTTGCAATATATAGACCAGCTGAAGGGATCTGAAATGACATAGATAGAAATAATTACATTTCATTGACTTGCATTAAAAATAAAGAATGTTCTTGCCTTCTTTCCATGGACTTACCATTTTGGAGATGCCTAAAAAGGAACTCATACTAATTTCAATACTAATTTAATTCAGAAGTGGAAACTCTAATTCTAAGTAATTCTACATATAACTCAATGTTTGTTGCCACGTTTGGCCCATATAGTGCTGTGATTAAGTATAAAATATATGGCACAGAAATGCATGTTATCAACTTACTAACAAGTTTAAAAACAACACTTACCTTCAGAGACATGAAGCCCAATGAAGAGAAGATAAAAAGTCAGCAACATCCTCACTAGTAAAACAACACTGAGTTCACAGCACACTGACAGCTCCACACCCAGCACTACACTAGCCCTGTATACCACACTGAGTACACAGCTCTCTCAGCAGCTCTTCACTGGAGTCTAACCCACTCTAATGTTCGTGCAGCTCACAGGAGCTGTGTTTAAATCAGCTAGACCAGAACTCTTCTGACTTTTAGAGATCTTATCAGCAGCTTCTTCAGAAATGGAAACCACACACAATGACATGGTGGTGTCTGAGTTGTGAGAACGCCTACTGTTTCCTGTTTTTCAGCACCTCATTTCGCAAAACACACAAGTGGCCACATAAAGAAATGTCATGCACACCTCTTTGTCATTCTCACAAAAAAAAAAAAAAAGTCAGCACAGACTTGTATGAGTAGTCTAAGCTGGTTTATGCTGGTCTTTTTTATGCTGGATCAGCTAGTCATTCGCTATGGCCCTGCTGGTTGACCACCATACCAGCATCCAATTGTAAATGTGTAATTTCCACTATTCTTTTCTATTTTCCAGTTCTACAGGTTTTCTAGCAGAGCCATTCCAAGAATGTTTTACTGGCATTTCCTCTGCTCTCTTTCAGTCCTCCATCCTGCCTGACACACCATGATCTAGATTGTGTAGTCAGTTTTATATTTGTAATTGTTTTAAATGTGTGTTTGTTTGTGTGTGTATGTATGTGTGTGTGTGTGTGTGTGTGTGTGTGTGTGTGTGTGTGTGTGTGTGTGTGTGCGTATGTGTTGGAGAGGGGGGGTCATGTATGTATGTGTGTATGTATGTATGTAGGCATGATTGTTTGTATTGTTTGCAATCAATCAATTTTAAAGTGCATTAGAAATTACATTATATAGACAAACTCTACACATATGGCTATGTAGATGTCTCTCAGCAGTGTTATACTGATTTGATATTGCAATCCATAATTTAGTAAAATAAAAAAAAAAATATATATATATATATATATATATATATATATATATATATATATATATATATATATATGTTTAAGCAGTTCTTACACTTGGATGTTTGAAAGCATGAGAACTAAAGCCACATCTGGCAGCTCTGACCACATGTCCTCTTCTGCGTCTTGTGTTTATTTTTAAACTATCAGCTCTCCTTTCTGTGGTCTTGCTTCTTGTTCTCTCTGGCCTTTTTATGGTAAAGAGATGTGATCTCATGGTTGTGGAACATCTATGTGGTCTACGCCTCTATTTTGAAGTAGCTATAATAGTATCTATTGTGGCTGATGTTGGCGGAGGTGCCGATCAACACTGACCTGAAACCTGATGAGGCCTCAGAGACACAAACACCAGCATGAGTGACCCAGAGTGGTCACTTCCTCTATTACAACAGTGAGATCCAGTCTTAAGCAGCTGAAAGCCTAAGACAACTCACAGGGTAGGAACACCCACTGAATTCAAGTGTGAAACAGCTCAGTTTCAGGTCCTGACCTGTCTGAACTGTTCCTCTTAGAGGTCATTTGGAATGTCTTTTCTACTTTTGAGACTAGAAGGCCTCACTGAGTTCTGGTCCATCCCTTGTATAACTGTTCTGACTCATAAATGGTGGTGGTGGTAGTCAAGAGTTAAGCATGAAAGAATGAGACAAATCATAAGACGCTGTACTGTTAACAATTTACTCACTTAAACAGATCAGAGATCAGACTTTTCCATTTGTTTTCATGGAAGCAAGAAAAGTAAATTTAGTCTGTTTAAGACAATCAAATACACAGAACACAGCGATACACAGAAATGGACAAAATAATAATCATTTTGCTCCACCTCACTCTGAGGAGACCTGTCCACCTTGTAGCTTCTGTCCACCTGTGGCAACTATCAAAGGTAGTGAGGATCTTCAGATCTGAAATGAAATCAAGCACCAGTCAGTTTATTATGTTGATAGTGCAAAAGTAAAAAATAAATAAATAAAACAAAATACCACACAAACCACAAATTTCATACTTTTCACATTCTATAATCACTTCACATTTTTTTTTTGATAGTTTAGTTTCTTTTCTTCTTTTTTTTATTTTATTTATTTTTTTTATTCTTATTTTTTTTTTTTACTATGACTATTCCAGAGTAAATATAATAAGAAAGATATGTAGACGGTTTCCATTGCCTTACTTCTCTCCATGACTTCTTCACACCACTCTAGATCCTCAGTAAAGTTAAAGCACAAATCAAAATTCATCTAGAATTCAACTACGGTGGGAGTTTCCTGATCTCTTTCCTTTTTGTACAGTTTGGAAGTTACTCTTTAATACACATTCTTAAACAGTTTGGCCCCACACTCTATTATTACTCTAAAATTACTGAGACCTGTGAAACAGGTCTGTTTTCTGAAAAATATGTTGTAATAAACAAAATTAGCTTCCATCATTGCTGAACTTAGAGCCAAACAAAAGCATCATGAAGAGCATGATATCATTAGCAGTACAACTTACACATGATGTACAATAATAATAATAATAATAATAATAATAATAATAATAACATCTGCAATGTTTGGTGAAGCTAAAGGATGCTTCAACGAATGAAACACATAGTCAAACTTTAGTATACTGTTCTACATAAAATAAAAAAAACACAGCTTTCATTTGATAGTACATCAAATACATAACAGTTACAAAAGCTGTAAAAGTGTACAAAATGGTTTTGATGATGTAAATTTTCTTAAATATATAAATTCTTAAATATTCTGCTGCTAAATGTTGAATACATGCCAGTGTTGCAGGACTGCACTACTCCAGGCTGACCACTCCATCTCCATCAGCAGTGCTGTAGTGAACCCTGGCAGGATCTGCTAGAAATAGAGTCAAAATACTTGATACATTATGACACAAAAGAAAATCAGTATGAATATAACAGCTTGATTGTGTAGTTTGTACCTTTGTTTCTCTTGGTGTGATAAACCACAGCTACTATAATGTGGAGAAAGATCACAGTCAACAAGGCAAAGGGGACGAAGGGCAGAGACTGTGGAGGTTCTGCAACAATGGTAAAGGTGAATGTTAATGCTACAACATACAACTACATTATAGACAATTAATGCTTCCAGCTTTGTAGTAACAATGTGGGGAAGACATGTTCCAGCATGACTGTGACCCTGACCTCATCCCTGTTGAACATATTTGGGATGAAATAGAATATCTACTGTAAGCCAGGCCTTCTCATCCAACATCAGCATCTGACCTTGAAAATGCTCTTCTGCCATGTGCAAATGAGGAGGGGCCCCTTCTTATTGATGCACATGATTTTGGAATGGGATGCCTAACAACTTGATGTAGATGTGAAAGTAAAGTATCTACATGCTTTTGGCAATATAGTCTCTGTTCATAAGCCAAAAGAGGTGATGGTCAAGACCTGCTCTCACATTCAACACTCCATTTAAATGGGTTTCACCACCTTAAAATGTAGTAGTTAATGGATGATGCGCACAGAGAGAGTTAAGTGAGGAAGAGTCATGTTCCATTCATCTCACAGTGAGATGTGAGAGGATGCAGTTGAGCTGGAGGATGCAGTTTCAGCACCATGGACAGTGACTGACTGGATAGGAACAAGAACAAAACCTACACTGCTTGGCAAAATGTGGGACCATCAAGCAAAGTGAGTGAAGATTTCTGAAATGAGGCAGATATTCTACTGGTATTCGACTTAATTTATTAAGTTTCAGTAACTCGCAGTGGCCGCTTCCAGTGTTCCACAGCCTAAAGCTGGGGGGCTTTGTTCCACAAAATCTGATGCTTGGCATTGGGGGGGCCAAAAAATTCATTTCGAGAGAGAATGCAGATTTAGCAGAAGCACATTCCTTAAGTTATTTATTGTCCTTTGTTTTATTGGTCCTTGTTGACCTATTTAAAGTACGATTTTCATGGCATAAGAAGTGAGACACTCAACTTTACCGATGTCACGTATTCGGTGAGCTCTAGCAAAGAACCGGACTTCATCTCCCAGACTCCTCTGGGAGATCACATGACGGAGCAACTTCCCTCCAACTCGGATTCAGACATGGACTCCATTGCCCACAATACAGTTGGGACTCACGTGACTTCTGACTCCTGTTCGCGCACCTATCAGCACTCTGCATCACCGGAATACTAACTGGTGTCACCTGTGTTTTGATTCACATAACTAGTCAGTATACTTTAAAAGCCCAGGCTTTAGATAGACTCTTTGTGAAGTATTGTATCATTCTGATCTACTGAGCGTTTGTTTATGATTGCCTGTTTTCCGTGTACTGACCTCTACTTTTCTATTATCGACTTTGCCTTTTGCCTGATCCCTTTTGTACCTTAGCTTGTTTTGACTGACCTGTGTTTTTGACTTCCTCGCCTGTTTTTGTGACTTCGTTTTTTGCACTGCCCTTTTGTTTTGGTTGCCCGATCTTATTAAACGTGTCATCTTTTTTTACATCCGCGAGCGTCTGTGTTCTGCTGCAACATCACAACTGACATACCAGTAAAAACAACATGAAGATCACACATCAAAACCCAGCAATTTGAATTGATATGTACTCTAATGTGATAAAGGGTGTTTTTATTACTGAGTGGAACAACTGAACATTCAGAAACAGTGATGAACTTTAATGATGTTGAATGTTTATTGAACAATTGTCACAAAATCATGACAAAGCTGTGAATTTTACCTTCAGCTGCAGTCAGTGTGCTGTACTTACCATCAGGCGTTTGAGAGGAATGTGTGGTTGAAGTGGTTGGACTGGTGTGTACATTGACCACTGCAGTAGATGATGTAGTTGTAGGTGGACCCTCTGTAGAGAGAGAAGGGTTTGATAGTCAGTGAAGGAACAGAACATCAGCAATCAGCTCACTGTAGATCAGTGGTGGATTAAGTACACAAATCATGTATTTGAGTTAAAGTAGAGATACCCAAGGTAAAATATTACTGCAGTAAAAGTAGAAGTTCCTCCCTTTAGACCTCCACTTGAGTAAAAGTACAAAAGTATTTGCCTTCAAATGTACTTAAGTATTGAAAGTAAAAGTACTAAAAGATTAATGATGACTTTAATGTCCTATTATCATTTTTGAAACAAGACTCTTGCTTTATCAACTCATTTTAGGTGAAAATCCTCCAGTGTCACTCTTGGTAAAC